TGAAGAGCCTTCACCATTCTTCCTTTCATCTTTCTCACAAGTTTTGGTTTATTACCATTTCCTTTTCAGCCTTTTGGTGAGAATAACAGCAGACTACAAAAAAAAAAGTTTGTGAAAAATGGAATTAAATTATGAGTTTATAATTTTTTTAACTTTTCATGATAGCCCATGTACATGCACATGTATGAGAGAGAAGCACCTTCCAAGGAGTCTAGTAATATGATTCTTTTCTTTCAGTCCTCTAGTCCACTGGATCTTGGACACTGTGCATAAGTCTGGCATGTTCCAGGGTGACTAGGCTAAGAATTCAAACCACGGTCACTATGTATGGGTGATCCAGCTTTTCTTGAGCAGCAGGTTACCATTGTACCATGGAGCTAGCCCCACAAGTTTATTTTTTATTAAAAAAAAAATCTTTAAATCCATGCATGGCTTTAATCATACACACGTTCCATAAACTTTTGGAAGACTCCTGATATTAGTTCTTCAATTATTATGAAATCCTCCATGGAATCAGAGTCCATGATCATTTGTGGTGATACCCTTTAAAGCTAAATACGACCGAGAAAGACTGCTGCCTTTGAAAAAAAAAAAAAATTCCATTTAGAAAATATTCTTTAACGCTTTAAAATAAGAGAGTTGTGGGTTTATATCCCAGCTCTACATAGACTAGTTCATAGGACTTATATGTATTATTCTACTTTATCCCTTACAATGACTATTAATAGGTACACATTATCCCAAATGTGTAGCTGAATAGACTGAGGTTGAGAAAGGCCCCACAGTTCACTGAAAGGCCAGTCATCCTGTTGGGAATTCCCAAATAAAGGGAACACTAGCTGGATCAAAGGGAGGACATGCTTCTTCTAATAGTCTGATAGGTATGCATTTCCTCTGAGTCACAAGCAATCATTAGACCTAAGATACCTAAGCTCCCTCCGCTCTGCAGCTCCTTCCCTTTCTCATTTTGTATTCTCATTCTTGATTTTCCTGCTCCAAAATATATTTTGCGTTTTCCTTGGTATGTTTTAACTCAGAAATTTAGTTACCTTATTCAATCTGCTATAACTGCAAAATACTGTTCAATGTTAGGAAATCCAACAGAAAACAAAGCTACAACCTTACATCTGTGTGCTTTTATTCAATGTCATGAAAACTTAAGAAGGCCTTCTCTGCAGTATTAGAATATAATGCTTTTTTCTTTAGACAGAGATTTTTGTATAGGGCATGTATGCTCACCAGAGAGACAGAAAGCTAGGAATCACCACCTAGGAAGGAGGTCCACACCACAATCCCTTGTCCTCCATCCTCCTCTCTGGATTTTGGGTACACATGCACATGTACCTGGGATGAGTTTCAAACTTCCACATCTGGGACTCAAACTGCAGTTGGACATGTGGAAGTCCAGTGACATAACTGTTGTACCATCTGCTGGTCCCAGAGTATAATGATTTTTTAAAATAAGAAAGATCTGGGCTGGCCCTATTGTGTAGTGGTTAAGCATGGTGCATTGAGAGCTGGATCCCACATGGCTGACTATAGTTTGAATTCTGGCTCAATTGACTTGAGAGACACACAGAGTACATGTGCATGTATAACCAAAATCCTAAAAGGGAAAATGGAGGAAAAAGATTGCAACATGCTCACATGCCATTAAAGGTGCTGCCTGCTGCCTGTCTCTGTCTCTGTCTCTGTCTCTGTCTCTCTCTCTCTCTCTCTCTCTCTCTCATGAACCCACACACCCTCTGACGATTAAAAAGAAAGGAAGTATGGGGACCAGCAGGTGGCTAGAAATTCCCTCTCTCAGAGTCTCTCTGGTGAGGGCGCATCCCCTATGGTAAAAACAAAACCAACCAAAAATAAATTAATAAATAAATAACAAGAAAGAAAGAATGAAAGATCTGAAACAAGCATACTAAATTGTTAACATCTATTGTGGATACTTGGGTATCATGTTTTTTCCCATACTTCTTTGTTAAGTTTTAAATATTTCATAAATCAAATAAAAATGGCTGTAACTAGAAAAGACCATATCATCCAGAAAACATATATAACATAAGGCTTTCCCTATAGAGCTACTTACAGAAGAAAACATTCTTTATATATTGGAAAACAAACACTGCCAAGTGTTTAAATGCATAATTACCTCATAGTAGACTAATTTTTACAGTTTTCTTCTCTAGATCTTAAAATATACTATCTACTCCTGTGATTTAGGATTCTGTGGTCAAGGCTTTCAAGGGTCGTTCTCCATAGTTAAAGGACTAGCATTAACTATGTAGAATTAATAGAAAGGCATGAGGTCAAGTCTGATGCAATGATGTCCAGAGGGGCTGAATGATCATATATCAGGGCACTCCAAGAATGAGAAAACCACCTTTGGGACTTATAGTCCCTCCTTTTCTCATGCTAAGAAACATGTTCCTCAGCCTCTTGAGACAGATAACCTCTCTTAAGAGCAGACTTACTTTAACAAAGCTACAAGTTGATTAATAAAATCAGAGTGCTGATATATTGTTTTACAATGAGAAATCTGTCAGGAAGACAGCATACTGATTCCTCATAGAGAAACTTAAATCAAAAGCAGAGAAAATAAAGTCTTTACAGCAAATAGTGCTGTAAGAACTGGATATCTGCCTGCAAAAAAAAAAAAAAAAAAGGATCCCTATCTCTCACCATTAACAAGAATCAACTCAAAATGGATCAAAGATTTAAATGTAAAGCCATAACTATAAAACTATTGGTAGAAAACTTAGGGGGAACTCTTGAAGACATTGGAGTAGGCAAAGATTTCTTAAATAAGGCTCCTACAGCACAGGCATTAATCCCAAAAATATTGGGTTGTCAGAAAATTTATGACATATTTTCTGTTTTCCTATGCAAAACTACATCATGACTTTTCCAATAACCCAACAGATAAGTGGGATTACAATAGACGAAAAAGCCTCTTCAAAACAAAATAAACAATTAGAGTGAAAAGACAACCCTCAGAATGGGAGAAAATATTTGCACATTATTCCTCAAAGGATTGATAACCAGAATATATAGGGAATTCAAGCAGCTCATCCATTTAAAGAAAAGGAATTCAATTTAAAAATTAGTAAACTGAATAGATAATTCTTCAAGGAAGACTCATAGATGGCCAGAAGGCATATGAAAAAATGTTTGAAGTCTCTTGGGAAATGCAAATTAGAATGGCTAAGACCAAAAAGTAAAGAATGGCAAGTGTTGGTGAGGCTGTGGTGAAAAGGGAACCCTCTTACACTGTTTATTGGAATGTAAATTAGTACAATCTTTATGGAAAACAATATGGAGGATCCTCAAAAACCTACAAATAGAACTACCATATGACCTAGTAATCCCACTCCTTGGTATTTATGTTTAATTGCAGCATTATTTACAATTGCTATGACATGGGGTCAACCTAAGTGTCCAAAAACTGATAACTGAGTCGAAAAACTGTGGCACATGTATATTACAGACTATTGCTCAGCCTTAACAAACAAAAAGATCCTACCATTTGATTCAAAGTGGGTGAATACAGAGGATTTAATGTTAAGCAAAATGAGCCAGACTTTAAAAGATACACACTATATATCCCCGCTTGATATGTACCAATGTATACACTCTATGGTAGAAATTGAAATCCAAAGATATGAGAGAAGAGAGGATAAGTGTAAATACCAGAAATTGTAAGGGAGGGCAGTGGTGGTAGAGGGTTGGTGTGAGGGGCAAAGGGAATAAATATTTAATAGACAAAAGAATGTAAAGGTCTCTATTTTTAAAAAGTTCTGTAATTTTTGCTTCATAAAAATAAAAATTTTAAAAAGAAAGGTTAAATAAGTCAAATTATAATCACAAGTTTGTAATACTAGTATAGCATGAGAAGAGTTGCAAGATTCTCTGTTGAATGTTTCACAATATCAAGTTATGTTGCCCAGTGCATCCATTTCTATATATGGAAAAGACCTGACATTAGGAAGTAAAAATCACTGACCAGAACTTTTCTCCTCTAAGCAATGTCTAGATGGATTCTACCAAAGTTTGCCCCCATGGACCTCATATTTCTGTCTTTTAGTGGCTATCAAAGTCCTTCTGGTACACTCAATCTTAAAGCATGTCTCATAGGCCATATGTCACCTAAAGAAGCAATTCTATCAGATATCTATCTTAGAGTTTATAAAAGATTCATGTGGAAAATTAGGTTGAGTCATAGAAAGATAAGAACTTTATGAGGGCCCATGAGATCATACATAAAGCATAAAGATAATACATAAAGGTCACCGATGTATCCTGAGTTTCTAGAACAGTGCCAGTCACTGTTCTTTATGTAAACGAATAAAACCGTCATTAAAAAAAAATACTTCAGTACAAGTGTAAAGCCCATATACTTAACCACTGAAATTATTCTCATCACTCAATTCTTTTTTTTAAGAATTATTTTATTTAACTTTATTTATTTATTTATTTTTAATTTGACCAGAGAGGGAAAAGCAAGAGAGACAGAAAGTGAGAAAACAAGCCACGAGGGACTCAAATCATGGTTGGTCAGGTGCGAGCCCAGCATCCTTAACCACCATGCCACCTAGCAGCTCTATCATTCACTTCTTACATACAATCATTCAGGGCCTGAGAACTTTGTCTTGTATATGCTTCTATCAAGAAGTATTATGTAAAAGGACCATTTTCATATTATTTCTGTGTATTCTAGGACCCAAACAGGTACCAAAATGAACTAAGTGTCAATTATTGAGAAAGAAAATATTTTGTATTTTATATTTTTATGCCACTAAGCATACCCACCACTCGTAGTGAAGGAGGGAAATAAGCGTGTAAACATTACTAAGATCTGTATTTTATGGAAACATATGGCACCTTGCTATTAAAATGGATCAACAAAGAAAGTTTCTAGTGAGGTTGCAGATTCTAGAAAGCATGAATTCCACTGTTCTCAAGGTAAGACCTAACCCAATGAAATGTGCTATGTATGTTTTACTCACTGCGTACTGGAACTTTTCGTTATATTCACGATCATTGGCTTTCACTATCCGTTCCACTTCTAAAGAGAAAGAGAAATCAGGTATGAAATTAAATTTTAGACCCATAGAAATATATAACTCACTAAAAAAAAAAAAAAAAACAACACTTAGGTTACATTGATTGTTGTCAAGGTTGCAAGAATTATTTCCTTTGAAATTTGAAGGGCTTGGCTTTTTCCAGCTTAAATGTTGGAACATGTGTTGGAAAGTCCCCAAATGGAAAGCTGGAATGTTTCTCATTGTTTTTCTGATGCCAGCCATAAAACAGAACATCATGTGTCTCCAACTTCTATGTTCCTTCAACTCCACAAAGACCCTTTCTCTTAACTTAAGTAATTCCTACAGAAGGAACTATTAGAGTTTAAATGCATCCTGGAAAGGATATTGAGGGTAGGAATGGGAGCCAAAGAATAAAATCTCTTCTGAAGATTAATATAAAGACTAATTCACATTTTAAAAAAAAGGAAGAAGGAGGAGAAGGAGGAGAAGAAGGAGGAGGAGGAAGAGAAGAAGAAGAAGAAGAAGAAGAAGAAGAAGAAGAAGAAGAAGAAGAAGAAGAAGAAGAAGAAAAAGAAGAAGAAGAAAACAAATCCAAAGATTGTGATAGTGCAGAAAAAAATATTTGCAAAAGGCAGTGCCCCATAAAAATCAGCAGATAATGTTTTGTAGGAAAAGTAGCAAGCTATTGCTCTATGTTGCTACCAAGGTGACTAAAGGTTTATGATGGCATAAGAGCTATGAGAAGAAAGTCAGCAAAGTAACCACCAAATATCCTTGATGGACTTTCATGGTAAGTGATTTATCCATCTCACCTTTAACTTCTTTAATCCCAGAGTTCTCCAACTGGGTAAGTATTAGGTAGTAAAAGTGGTAGGGCTAAGAGTTAGAGTCTGAGTTTAGAGAAAGTACAAGGGGTCTTTAAAAAACTCAGAGGGTTGGCTCTATTGCCTAGTGGTTAAGGCCACCAGATCCCACATGGTCAACCACACAGTTGGCATTCCAACCTGGTAACTTGTAAAATACACCACGTATGTGTGCATGAATACCCCAAATTCTGAAAGGATAGAGAAATTGTGGCATGACCATTCTCCACTGCGGGGGTGCCTTCTCTCTTTACCTTTTTCTCTG